TTCTCCGTGTTTTTTTCCCCCATTGGTTTTTCTTTGTCCCCCCTTATGTTCACCAACTATTTATCTTTTCATGTTTTCTTCTCTGATAACCCGACAAATGCAACTACATTTCTTTTTCTATCTGACGTCTGACATATGTTGGAAACGAAGGTCGTGGCAGTAATGCAATGTGGAATAAACAGAACAAGAAGTCATGGTTGCGCCCTCTAAGGAGAACCACGAATAAGCCTTATCTTCAGTGTGTGTTTATCCTTGCAAAATGTAATTGCATGTCAGGTTTGGTTGACTGCAGTGTAGTAGTTGTCAAGTAAAATGATCTAACTGGTATTCTTATGCAAATGAAAATCACAGAGGGGGATATTTATCAAACCTACTGCAAATTATTGCTGCACACGTTTTTTTATCACCCAATTTCTCAATTTAGCTGGTTATTTACTAAGACTGCATATGTTAATGAGCCAAGCTGGTTTGCACGAGACAATATCGGTGTTTGAAAACTGGGTTATTGATTAGATATTGATAAGAATTGATAAAAAAATATAAACATCGAACTAAAAGCTCAGAAATTAGTGTTTGGTAGATTATTTCTCTGTTGTAACAAGGCTTCTTGGCAATAAATGTTATACCGTTGGAAAGCCTGTTTATTTTCCTTTCAAACGGTGCCCCATTTGTCAGGAACATGCATTTGTAGGATGAGCAGCACAGCTGAGTATGTGGGTTGCGCCCATGAAAAACTTGCCAAATCTTCTCTGCCAATGCCAAACAGCTTACTCTGCTGTTGCTATTGACTCTTGTTTGGTGTTGCCTAACAGAATTTGATTGCCTATACTTTAACCAAAAGTAGTGTCTTGCTATTTTGTGTCAGAAATGTTGACACTGAGGTCTGTAACTCTGTAACTGTCACTCTGCATGAGTCATTTTAAGGTCAGAAAAAATAGTTATTGCAGCAGATGGCCAATAAGGGAAACAGAAATGGTAACAATAGTGTTTGAAGAATACAGGCTCCTGCATTGCTGGTCTGTTGTCTTGTGTATTTTATGGTGCTGAAAAGAAAGCTGCTGGAGAATATTTAGAGTGCATTCAAAAGGGTAAGTTTGGAGTTAATATATTTTTTATTGCCATAAAACCCCATAAAGGGAATGTGTTTGTCCGTCTCTGAATAGCAAGGATGGATAAATACTTTGAAATGTGTCACGAATGTAGAGCTAACAGTCTACAACTGTGAGGTCTGAGAGGCTGTTCTTAGAAACAGTTGAGCTAAATGCTAACGTCAGCATTGCTAACATACTGATGGTAAGCAGGTGTAATGTTTACCATGTGCTGCAGATTAATACTCATGTGTGCGCTGGTGAGTGTTTACAACATCGGGTCATAAAAAGTTACAGGTGTGCACTTGAGATCAAAATCAAGGCCCAGTTGTTAGATGGGTGTGGTCTGAGTAGAGGTGCCACAGATAAGGGGGGTAGGAAGTGGGAAGTGCACACTTTTTAGCTATGCTTTGGTAACAACTTTGGTATGATTAAATGTAAATAACTGCTTAGGACTAATGAGACCTCAAAGCACCAGAATTATTTTGCTGCAGTTCATAATTGACCACTTCTGTGTGACGTCACAGAGACTACATCCATGTTTTATGCAGTTTTAAACAAACATTCAACATCTTGATATTTCAGAGAAGACTGGATCGTCAAAATGTTACCAGGCCGCGAGTGAACAGACAACTAATCAATACCGTGTGCCACTTTCACTTTATCCGTCATTCAACGACACAATGTGTCAGATTTTTTAAACATCTCGCGTCGGATTGGAACTCTTTCAGAGCTAGAACTTCACACTGCGCTCCCCCCGGCGGCACATGTGTTGATGGCAGAGATGATGAACGATGCGAGGACAAAAGCTGTCAGATGTGATAAATACGACGTCGAATGGCTAATCAATCTGATGTGGGTAGAAGGAAGCGGAGGGGGAAACAGCAGCAGGGATCTCCTGGTGTAAGTCGGCAGCGGCAAAAGAATCTGATTGGCAGCGTGTACACGGGTGTGTGTGTGTGTGTGTGTCTCAAGCCTTTTCTTGGTCTGACCTTGTCATTATGAACCAAAATGAACAGGAAGCTGTGTGTGTGTGTGTGTGTGTGTGTGTGTGTGCATTGCCTGAAAATCACGAGAAAAACACACCCTCGCTTCCTGGTTACAAACACTGGCACAAGGCCCAAAACATATTGAAAAATTAAACGCTGCAAAAACAAGTACAGAAGGAAGTGACTAATGACTGGCTTAAGAAATAGCAATAACTTCACCGTGGGGCAGGGTGAAACATAGCGACTCCAAGAAGAAGGGAGGTGGAAGAGAGAGAGAGCGAGCAACTATCCGTTCATCTTCACTTCTTTCAAATAGCTGACACTCCTTCCATTCCTGTCTTCGCCTCTCCGGCTTTTCTTTCTGTGTGTGTGGGGGTGTGCACATGACCTGTGTGTGTGTTTGTGTGTGTGTGTGTGTGTGTGTGTCCTAGTCCACATGACCTACTTAGACTAGGAATGGACCTCGAGAAAAAATTGAAGTATCTCACAGTGAGGTTGCAGTCTAAAACATGCAGAACCTATCGTTTTTCACTCTCAGCATTTTCACCGGCTATCTTTAGCACCTGCTGTCCAGAGTACATCGTATAGTACTCAAGGACGCACACAGTGTCCACAGTATCAAGTATCCGCTCGCACTGGGCACCCACACACACACACACACACACACTGCGTGCAAAAAGACACACCACCACATGCACATCTTCTCCGACCAGACAGAGCCAGCATCCATGGCACTGCTATCTAGTATGTCGTTAAAGCAGAATTCAATCGATTTAGCATGCCACCCTTTTAACAGTCAGACTCACGAGGGACAGTTACAAAAAAAAAGAGGATCAAAGTCGGTTTTGAGGCAAAGATATCATCTTTTTTATTCCACACATTTCCCTTACTTGTCAAACGCTGGCGCCTACATTACCCACTATACAACTCAACGGTCTGTGATTCGGCTGCTAATGTAGCCTCGAGCTGCTAGCATCAAAGCAGAGATGAGGAGCGGTTTAAAGCTCAACACACAACCAATCAACTGAGGCAATTTATCAGACTCCATGGAGCTCCCTTTAGAGCGACAAAAGGATTTATTCAAGTTGTTTCACATATGTAGTAGCACTCCCCAAAACCCGGCGATCAATAAATGGGCGCCGATAAGACGTTTTGTAAACTATCTTTTTCAATAGAACTGGTCTCCGATAGTTAGCCAGAGGCAGCACCGCCGCCTCTTGCGCTGAAAATATCTGTGTGCATGTGATTAACCGCTGATAATAATCTAAACAACTGTTAAATACCACATTAAATGGCACCTCCTATTCTAGGCCCGGGAGAAGGGGGGGGTTGGCTCTTTGTCCATGATAGACAGACAGACAGGGAGGAAAAGAAATCATTCAACATTAACTCCAGCCACTCCAGCCACATAACTATCCATACATGAAGTGGAATTACACTTTAGGATCTCCCTTACCACGGGAATATGCACGTATATATAAATATGAACATTGATGCGTTGTTAGAGTGGCATTTAACAATGTAACAGGATGCAGTCATGAGCCACAGAACAGCGATCGGACGATAGACTGTCATCTTTTTCCTGCTCCAGACTATCGTCAATACATCAATACAGCCAATACAGCCTTTAAAAAAATCGGTCAACCTCTAAAACATACTTTGATGTGTAAAATCAGTGGAGTTCCCCTTTAAGTTTAAATACATAATAAGATCTCACAGCAACATCACATGTAATCCGTTCTCTGTTTGCTTTATGTTGATTGGTACTGATCCTATGGGAGAGTAAGCTGATTGAAAGTAGTTTTGAAGTAGAGCGGTGGTGTGGCTCTGGGGGTGCATGGCGATTGGGGCCCGACAGCCAATCTGTTCAACGTTATGGTCCAGATTAAAATATCTGGACAATTTCTGGACGGATTTACATTAAATTTGGCAGAGACATAAAACGATCCTCAGAGGATAAACCCTGATGACTTCGGTGATCCCCTTACTTTTCTATTTTGCACCACCAGTAGCCGGTCAAAATGTCCACTCACTAATGATTCAATTCTCAGCTTCTCCAACAGAAAGTCGTCTCTCCAATTTTTGATTTAATCTCACAATTTGTTTATCCGATCAGCCAAAAGAGGCTGTTAGCGTTGCTTTAGACTGTTTTATCTTGTTAAATCTTGGATTGTGTGTACAACATTTAATCATCTGCAAAACTAGTGAGTCAAACACTAAAGATAATGCAGCAGTGAGGCTATTAGGACTATTTGTGAAATGTAAGCTTACAAAAAGTTGGGTCAACATCTAATAGAGCGAATGCAGAATGAATAATCTGCCCCCCCCCCCCCCCCTTCAATGTCGCAACTAGAGGAAAGTGTAATGTAATACAAATGTCATATCTTGTATGCCAAAACATGTAGTGGACAGCAAACCGTACACACACTGGCAGGGAAGTGTAAGTCTAAACAATAATATAATGGACGGCATGTAGCAGATGGACACATCAAGGCACATTCTGGCAGTGTCATGAATATTCTAACCTTCATAAATGCGTAATAAGCACGAAACCCAAAGTCTACCTCTTCAGCTTCATTTTAGCTTTGCTGAAGAAAAACAATCACCCCCAACGAAGCCGCTCAGACTTTGATAAAAAAGTAGCGAAATGATACAGCCCACCACATTAGAGCAGCTTCAACATCACCACTGAGCGAGCTGTGGCCCGAGGCTTTCTGCTCACAGATCAAAATGTGGAGGCATATTTGTGACACATTAGCTCAGATGGGCATTCCATCATCCGTGTTTACTGTTTACTGTCGGCCTGCCTCACCCCGAAAGCGCTGGAGGAATTATCCGCACTACTTTCTGGTATTCATAGCTCATTAATGGTGACAACCCTCCCATACCCACACACACACACACACACACACACGGTTCTAACCTGTTCCTTGACGGAGGCGAGGATGGCGGAGGTGGTTTCAGACTCGGATCCGTCTCCGTTGGAGGCGTGGAGGACGGGGCTCAACATGGCGGCAGCGCTGGCAGTGTCAGTCGCCACCTCAGGCACTGGCATACCTCCTGGAAAACAAGGGAACATGCAACTCTTTTACTATTATTAAAGAGCCTGTGGCCATGCCAGCATTTAGTTCTGAGTGGCTGTCACACCTACACCTCCTTCCTACGCTCTTGTACTCGGGGACAACCATTTACACAGTTTTGGACGTTAGGCAGAGGTGAAGAGAGACACATTTCCACACACTCACAGTTTACATAGAAAACTGATAAACTAGCCGACTATTAGACTTCTGTTACAATCTGTATACCAGTCAGTGTTGTCCATGTGCAATGCATGATAATGACCATCAGGCATTTTGATTAGATTTTGACCAGTATTCATGCAATTTAAAAAAAAAAAAAGAAATTCTTAATCTTTTTTTTTTTTTTACATTTTCTCTCTCATGTTCAGGGTCATGTGGAGCTGCCAAATGCATCTCTCGCCAAATGCATTTGGCAAAGTACAGTGACGGATCCTGGACAGGTGCACTGGTACATCTGCACAGCATGGACTGTAACCATGAGCGGTGCATGCGACTGTGTACATGAGGGCCGAGCTCTTTGCGCTCTCTGCTTGCAGTGATGAGACATTTTGAGATGGGGACTGGGTGTGTTTCTCTTACATGCTGCTATGTTGCGTCGTCTGTTCTGACGGTCGCTGGAGGGTGACTTGGCAGATGTTTTCTCTCTTGTTTTATGTTCATGTTTTTATGTCATTCTGTTGATTGTGATGCAAGACAACATTTTGTGGGAATGGACAATAAAGCTTTATCTTATCTTATTTTTGGAAAACAGGAAATCTAGGCCAATGAGAAGGAAGTGTACAGACTCCACCGCCCAACCCATTCTCACCTAACCTTGCTGGATTCTCACGGTGTGACGAGATCACGCGAGAGTCCATCTTGTGTGGCTTCAATTTGTGTCCGGCAAGCCAGTGCACGGACCAATCAGGGTCCTGTGATGACCTGCTGTCAGCTACGGGCGTGGCTCAGGCGTGTAGGATGTTACAAAGAGGCGAGTGTTTGTCCTAAACAACAATGGTGGCTCCTAAAAAAGGTTAGGGCAGTTGCTGTAATAGCATCAGTTTTTCTTAATTTAAAGAAGAGCAAAGAACGGGACTGAAGGCTTTTCTAGATGGAAAAGATGTTTTTTAAAAACTGCCGCTGCCTAAAGTTTGATGCCGAGGGGCGCTGACTAAGTGTCATTATTTGACAAGTTGGGAGTGAGAATGTGTTGAAAGGTCAAAGGTCTTATGATAGTAGGCAATTACTGAGATAGCCGTAGTAGAGCCGCCGGAGATTATAGGAGTAGGAACAGGCAACTATCAATAGCGGTAGGATTTGTAGGTGTACAAATCCTATTGTAAAAAATGTTGGCAGACAACCTGAAATCAAAAGGATAAGACATGGCAATATTCTATGATTTTGTTGCCGTCAACAATTTTAATGAAAAGACCAAACCAAATAATGCTGTCTCTCACGTAAATCTTTAAAAGCATGGCAAGGCTGACAACTTCCTCAAACAGCTGTTCGCTGTAGTTTTTAGCAAACATTACTCAAACAGGAGTAAATAGTGCATTTATTAGGAACTATTTTCATGCGGATGAATCCACATTTGGTACATTAGTGAGTATTGCAGCCACAGAGCAGCGTATGTGGGATCTACTCAAAATATAAAGTATAGTGTGTGAAGGGACATGTCACAACAACTATAGACAACAAATGGAGCTCGATGGCACAGAGGAAGATGGTGCAACACAATATAGCAGGATACATTCATTGTTGCTTTTGGTCTTTTCATGAGATTTTTTTATAAAAAAAGGAAAATATGGCTGTGGCTCCACACACACACACCTCCATTACCACATGCAGATTGATTGATGGATGGAAGTCGTGATATTATTGGTTGAAAGTGGTCGGTACTAGCTAATGTGAGCGCATGTCATATTTTGTTTTACAGGAAGAAAAGATGATTGGATTTCGATATAAAAACACCATTAGGATGATTTATTTAAATTGTTAAATAGACGCACAACATGACCAAGGATTTGATCTGAAAGGTCGGATGTAAAAAAGCATTTTTTCATTTCAACTCGAAATTTAAATGAAAACAATAATCTCTGTGTTCAATTAAGACAATTAAGACTTCATACAAGCACATATTTTGTTCAACTGTTTAACCTCAACAAACATAAATAAATATGACATAGATAGTTAAACATGTGGCAACCACAGAGACTCAGATGCTTGAATGGATATCAGGCTTAAATACTTCTTAATGTACAAACTGACTAGATGTGATGCCAGTATAGTCAAGTCAAAATAGCAGTATTAGCAATAGTAATAGAAAAGGCTTATTCTATAGCGTTAAATAATACAACCTATCAGCACAACAGCATAAAATGTGGCTATGAAAAACATAATTCTCCCAAAAAGTGAAAAGCCTAGAAACCAAGTATCAGAGTCCTAGCATCAGAAGGACTGGCTTACACACGCACACACACACATACACACACACACGACCACATACACACTCGCATGCTTGATGCCATGTGTCATCCTGCATTTGACCAGGCGTTGGAGGACACGGGCTTCACATGTGCCGTGTAATCCTGATGCAGCACAGAGCTGGTGTAACAGCTGCATCAGCCAGCTTTACACACTGATGAAAGGCTTGTCATGAGGAATCTGACACACACACACGCACACACACACATAAAAGGCTGGCTGTCGGCATGAGGCAGCATCGGCCTTATACTTGATGTAAAAAAAAAAAAAAAGGAAAGAAAGTGGAGCCTGTAAGCAGAGTGGAGGGAATAGGTGCGAATGAAAAAGGGAGATGGAAACGTGAAAGGAACGGAAAAGTGGAAAGAGAGTGAGAGAGGAGAGAGAGATACAAGAGGAGTAGGAGGGCGAGCAGGGCGAGCAGAAGAGAGAGAGAGAAAAACGATTCTTGCATGCTGCTAGGCAACAATCTCTGGTCACTGAAGGCTACTAATATGGCTGACCTGGTTTTACGTGTCTTCCATTTTGGATTGTGTTCCTCTTCCTTTCTATCCGTCCCTCAATCGCTGTTTCTTAACTTAAATTTTTCATCACCACTCACCTTTCTACTTACACTACATCCATTTCCTCCTCATGCCTCTCCCCATTACATCCTCCCCCTCCTTGTTACCTTTATGCCTCTGAACTTCCCCCCCATCCCCCTCTCACTCCTTTCCTCTCTCCCTGCCCACTTCTCTTCACTTGACCTATTTCGGTGTCTCCTCATATTTTCAGCCCATTCCTGCGTCGTTAGGCAGCACGCAGCGGAGGGTGACAGGAGGAGGATGACCCGAAAGATTGCGTTTTGGATTTGAACCCGCAACGCCGCAGTGCAGCTGAGCCCTCTTTCATTGTGAGCGTGCACTGTGGCTGTGTAAACACTGCTGCTTATTTGGCCTCGTGACACCGCTACATGCTTCGCTGTCTTCATGCCGTACACTTTTCTTTTCTTTCCTTCTCTCTCTCTTTTCAAGATGTTTTGACTCTCCGGCTGTGTGGTCCCAACTCATGATCTGGCAAGTGCCTCCCATCCTCCTTCTACACTTTCCTCCCTGCCGGCATTCCCCTCTTTGCTCTTTGTGTAGTCAAATCACAGACACAATGTCATCACCGTCATTATCACCTCTACTGGAGAATAATCCTGAATCCCTCTCTCAGGGCGTTTGTTTGCGTCATTTCGATTCAGGGACTTATTGGATGCAATTGCTGCATTCGCCCTTCGGTTCGTTTGGAGTTCGCTCTGCGACATTCAAGGGCGGTCCGAGAGTTGTAAACAAACGCCAGCTGAGCAAGCTGTTCTCTCATTGGTTAGAATAGTCACCGGGGAAGATTTGCCTCAAAATCTTTCCTACTCTCTCTTTTTCATTTTTTTTTCTTCTTCATTATGGAGCAAAAGCAGCTCGAATAGCTAATTGTTTTCACGGTTAATATACCAGCGTTCATTAAATGAAACAAGGTATCCAGTGAGCATTTACACTGCGACTGGAAAACAATATCCTGACACACCTTATCAGAAGAAGAATTCACAGTTGGAGATGGGCTCTGATACCACCACACACTCGCACGATGAGCGTTCTTAGGTGCCTTGGGTAAACTCGTTTAGATTATTTCTATAAGCATCGTTGTTTCGGATTGTGAACGCATTCTGACTGCAAACAAACCGCTTCCATGTGGGGTTGCGCCAAGACCTCCCTCCTCAGGCGATCCCAGCCAACTTCTTTTGCCCCACATCCGAGTGCGATTGATGTTTTTCACATGTGCCCAAACGGACCAGACCTTCCATATATGATTTCTGTTTTTCCCTTCCCTCAGAATACATACATAGTAGATACATTGCTGCACCAAAATTACGAATTCCTATACACCGAGGCTCTGATTCGTCACTGTATGAATTACTTTGTATGCATGAAACATACAACACAACAGTACAATAAAGCTTGAACTGTATCAGAGAACCGGACCAGAGAACCGTACCAGAGAAACGGACCAGAGAACCGGAACAGAGAAACGGACCAGAGAGCGGAGCGCCCGGTGGCCCAGTTTGCCTATAGAACAAATGGAGAGAGAAGCTCTGGTTTTGCCTGTGCAGACAGGGCAGGCAGCCAAATATAGGTCAGCTCAACAGACCGTGTCCAAGCCCTCATCCCACAACTGACCAGTACAAAGCTGCTTTCCCCAATAACAGCCAGCAGAACTAGGTTATAGAGGCCCGCAGCCCAGCTAGAAACAAGACTTTGAATATGGATTAGGCCTAAAGGCTTTATTTCACTGAAGTATAATCTTGGATTTTTAGGTTCTATATTTCTAATGCAGGGGGTATTTAGCCCCGCATTTCAAAGCAGTAATCTCCGACATTGCTGCAGCGTTGTAAATGCAGCTCACCGCGCATGATTGACATGACTGACATGGGGAGTGCTGAGCTTAATCTCTTGACCCTTTAAGCTCATCAGTCAGGTCTGAGACAGACGTGTTTTGGTGAAG